TTATTTATTTATTTTGTGTGTGTGTGTGGCCAGCTCAGCCCACCAGGGGGCGGGGCTGGCTGGCATGTGGTGCTGGGGGATTGAACCGTGGTCTCTGTGTTTTGCTTAGCTCAGCTTGTTCTAAGTAGGTGCCTTAGACCACTGAGCCATCTCACCAGCCCCAAAGAACTGAGCTAGGGCTGGGCCCCCTTTATGATTGTAATTCTGTAATAAAATATAACATGTATTGGTTACACAGTGAAGGAAACAGTAACAAAAGTGAAACTTTGGCCATCCTAAGCCACTGTCCCACAGCAGCTCAGGATGTGTTCACCAGCAGGGCAGACTCTTATGTGGAAATGAGTAAGAGCTCTGGGGTGTTTTATAGAGAGAACAACATTTGGAGGGTCAGGATTGTCTCTGTCTACATTCTCTATGCCCAGAACTACTCCCTCACCTCCTCTTAGCATGTTTATATATTCTTTGTCCTGCAGCAAGACACCTTGGATGCAGATATCCACATCGAGACAGAGGCCCAGGGCATGTATAAGTACATGTCTTCACAGCACCTCTTTAAGCTGCTGGACTGTTTGCAGGAATCTCATTCATTTTCAAAGGCCTTCAACTCCAATTATGAGCAGCGGACCGTCCTGTGGCGGGCAGGTAAGGCCACAGAGCAGTGTGGCTTGCTGGCACACTGGTCACCATCCTAAACATTAAAGTCTTTAGGAATTCCTGATGCTTCAGACTTAGTCTCAATAACTTTCTAGGTATTTTTATACTTATTGCTGGATTTCATTCATTCCAAAGCCAGGAACACTGCCTCATATATAACAGAGTTTCAAAAAGTATTTGGGCTGGTCAAATAGCTCAGCAGATTAAAGTGCCTGCAAACAAGCACAGGAGCCAGGGGTTCAATCCCCAGGCCTGCCATGCCATTCCTGTCCCCGGGGCGCACTGAGATTGCAGTTGAGACTGGGCGTGGTGGTGCATGCCTGTAATCCCAGCTCTTTGGAGGCTGTAAACAGGCAGATCACTATGAGTCCGATCTAGTAGTGAGACCAGGAACACCCTGTAGATCCTAACAACAACAACAACAAAAGCCAAAAAAAATAAGTATTTGAGGAAGTCCGTGGGTGGTGGTGCATGCCTGTAATCCCAGCACTAGGGAGGCGGAAAATAGGATAACTGCGAGTGTGAGCTGCATAGTGAGACCCTGCACCCCCCCCCCAAAGAAAAGTATTTGATAAAAAACAAAGTGAAAATTAGAGAACTAAATTGATCTTTCAAGTCATTAAGTTTGACATGAAATGTTAAACATGGTAACATAAGCTGGCCATGGTGGGGAGCACCTAAATCCAGCACTTGGGAAGCGAGGTAGTTGGATCATCAGGAGTTTAAGGCTATTAAATAAATAAATAGAGTTAAAGGCCAGCCTGGGCTGCATAGCTCAAGACCAGCCTGAACTAATAGACCCTGTCTCAAAAGAACAAAACAGCAACAAAAACAAAAATGGTGATGTAAAAGTGTGATCAGAAGGAGCCAGGGAGATGGCTCAGTGGGATAAGTGCATCCCTGGCAAGTGCAAGGGTCTAGTTCAATCCCTGGTTCCACCAAAAAAAAAAAAAAAAAGTGTGATAGGGGTTGGGGAAATAGCTCAGCAGTCTAAGCACCTGCCTGGCAAGCACAAGGACCTGAGTTCAATATCTAGTACCACATGCCATGCTGGCCCCAGAACCCCCAGGCATGCTGTTCCAGCCACCAAAACCAGGCATGGTCTACAACACCTGTAATCCCAGTGCTGGTGAGGCTGAGACTGGAAGATTACTAGGAGTCTGAGCTGCATTGCAAGGCCCCATACCAAATAAATAAATATTAAAAAAAATTTTTTTTTGAAAGTGTGATAGTCTTAAGAAACAGAAACATTCATACATTTTTTTCTGAGGCTTTACAGGTTCTCATTCCTGTCTCCAAAAATAAACACATAATTCCTGAAGTAAATAGATGTATTTTTTCTAGATGTGTTGATTTTTAGTTTCTTTTTTTTTTTTTTTTTTTGTATTTTAGGGAAGGGTTTACAGGGTGTTCAAGGTCTCAGTACTAAATTGGATTCTTAGTGATCTGCCTGTTTATAGCCTCCCAAGAACTGGGATTATAGGCACGTGCCACCATGCCCAGTCTGGATTGCTGTCTCAGCGTACCCCAGAAGCGGGGCTGGCACAGCAGGCCTGGGGATCAAACCCCTGGCCTACTGTGCCTGCTTGCAGGCGCTGTAATTCTAAGTATTTTGAACTTCTCACAGAAGTGGTACTTTAACCTTTGTATTATTGTCATTATTTGTTTTACTTTATTTGTGTGTGTGTGTGTGTGTGTGTGTGTGTGTGTGTGTGGCCAGCTCAGCCCACCAGGGGGCGCGGCTGGCTGGCATGTGGTGCTGGGGGATTGAACCGCGGTCCCTGTGCTTTGCTAAGCTTGTTCTAAGTAGGTGCTTTAGACCACTGAGCCATCTCACCAGCCCATCATTATTTTTAAACTTTTTCCCAAATGCCTGTTTTAATCTCTAATGAAAGACTATCACTTTTCTCTGTAGCTTTAAAATACCTAGATGTTTTATGTCTTGGCCTGTAATAAATTTTTGTTTATGATAGCAGTTTGCAAGTTATCTGGTTGATGAGAACTATTTTGTTTTAAAAACTGCATTTTTATATGTACTTTTTTGGGGAAAAGTTTATGACTTAGAAAAATGCTAGAATTCTTAGTGCTCTTACATTTGAGAAGATGCAACTAATGACTTTACTGGCCGAGAGGCAGGCCTGGCTGGCAGTCAGGGCATCAGTACAGAGAACGGCGTCCAGGGAATCGGGACTGCCTACGTGTAGTGTCCCAGATGAGCTTGCTGAAGCTGTAAGATGGTCCAGTGCTGCCTGAACTAGATGGCTCATTATCTCACTATTTCTCAGCATCCTCCTGACCTTGTGCTCTACGTAATGACTTTCTCACCACCAGGTTTTAAGGGCAAATCTAAACCCAATCTTCTCAAACAAGAAACCAGCAGCCTGGCCTGTTGTTTGAGGATCCTGTTTCGTATGTATGTTGATGAAAATCGCAGAGATTCCTGGGATGAAATACAGCAGCGACTTTTAACGTAAGCTCAGCTTCCCATCAAATTTACTGTCACATACAAAACATACCACAACAATACTGTGAATTGAAGAGAATAGGAGAAAATTGACCTCTATAGACATCTTCCTCCTGTGTGACAATGCCTCCATTTCACGGTTTCTGTTCTGCAGTGCTAAGGATTGGACCCAAGGCCTTTGCACTGAGCTACATCTTTTCCCTTCCCCCAGCTCCTACCCTTTTCTTTACTTTTTTTTTTTCTTTGAATTTTTTTATTGGTACATTTTGTATATACATAGTAATAGCATTCATCATAGGGGAATTGTACCTTGCTTCAAATAATAGTTTCAAGCATTTTTTTTAAAGATTTAAAATTTCTGAATTTAGTTCAACTTATAATACCACATTTCCAAGAAAAATGAACCTTTTGCAAAGATATTTAAATAAAATCATATCAAGATGCACAAAAATGAAATTGTCCAAAACTTCTTGTAAAGAAAAAAAATCATTAAAGCATATACGTAAAAATATTAGCTATGGAAGAACAAAATTAAATAGCATCTTATTCCATGTTAGAAAGAAAAAAAAAAGGACCAAGAACGTAAGACATTAGATTAAAGGACTGAAAGAAAAGATCTGTTCTCTTTGAATTTCATACTTAGCAAGCATACCTTTGAAAACTAAAAGTAAGATTTTCTAGTTATAAAAACTTGAAATATTTTAATACCTCCAGTAGTATATAGGAAATAACAAAAAGCATAATTCAAAAGGCAAGAGAAGTTGCCGTATGCTCCTGGATGAACAGTAAAGAGCTCTCAATATGATAGTTATGCAGGACTATATAAAAAATATATTAGATGAACCCTTATTTAAAGTTCATTGCAGATTTCTGTGAAACAGTACCAATCTTATGTTGGGTTATACACGTATTTTTTTTCCATATATGTGTGTGTATGTGTATATAAAGGACAGGGAAGAAGTAATATAAAGTCAACAGAA